TACTCGTCATACTACATACCTAATACTCTTTAGACTTCTCTTATATCAAATATTCTTCAACTTCAACTGATTATTTAATAGATATCACTTTGTGCAACAGTATTTCCGTATTTCATAAAAAGCCTAAAACAAAAATTCATTGAAGCCAAATAGTCTCTTTCTATACAAGATATGTGGTGTCTGCAAATCTTTTTCTCTTATGCACTAAGAAATATATAAATATATATTTTTACTTGTCGCTTATTGCATTACAAAACTCGAATGCCCGACTACAGAGTATGTGAATGCAGGACGCAACTTCTGCCCCGTGGACACCGAAAAATGCGAATGGCCAGGATAACAGTAACCTAATATAGCGTAATTTGGCTTTAATGACCAGACAGAGAATGAGGGCGAACGGAGAGGTTGTGATGGAGGTGAGCTACAACAAAGGCCACTCCACTCCACTCATTTTGTTGGTCCCGTTAAATAGCCTAAATAACTTAATATCAGGCAAAGAGCTGGCTGTCGCTCTGATTGAGATTCACCGGCAACGAGTGTCGGGTCGGCTTTCCTACCTATTGCTACTTAACTAAGCCAACGATATCATTTTATTACACAGCTCAATGACAACGCCAGCTACGCCCAACGCCCTAAATGGATAAGACCTGGGCGAAATTTTAGAGCTGAGAAAATGCCGCTGCTAACTAGTTGAAAAATTTCACTTTCGATGGGGCTCGACTCTAACTTTTAGCTGCTGCTGCCTTCACCTGCCACTTGCCATGAACCACCATAGCCACCGTCCTACCTTGCCCACTCTACATCGCGCGCACTTCCAACTCAAAGGCCATTAACGTGTTTCGTTTCATTTAACTTTTACGCTCGATGTTGTCCCCGGCCTCCCTGAGGGAGTAGCGGAAAGAGCGAAAGCAGCGCTGCTATTTAGCACAAGAGCAGAATTGTCGCTCCCGCCCCACACCACATCGCAACACACCACCCACTGGTGGTATTTTTGTTACACTTTGGGCCCATGAAACGAAACTTTTACCTGCTGCATGCTTGACCCAACAAAGGACGACAACGTCGAATACTCGTGAGTTGGCGGGGCCCACGGAAGACAAGGGATCACTGGGTTTGAGATTGGAGTTTTGGGTGTTGGAGGTTGATGCTGCTGCTGCTTTGGTGGGTTGACCTTCGCTGCTGACAGCAGCCGTCATTAACCTTTCATGATGAGGGAACAAACCGGGGCACAATCAAGCGGAACAGGTGGCAGCTAGCAGGCTGCCTGGGGAGCTTCCTACCGAGTCCTGGCAAGCAGCCATCATCGGTAGCTCGAAGCTCGAAGCTCGACGCAAAACTTGATTCCAGTTTGCTTGCTGTCGTTAAATTTGAACTTTTGACTTGCTGGTTTGCTCTTTATTGTTGCTGTTGTTGGGTTTGTTCATGTCGTGTTTGTGGAGGTTGTAAAGTATGTTAGGTAATTTTTGGCTTTAATGCTGTCTGGCAGCGACAGTTCGCCCAATGACCTAGTTTTCCGACTCTATCTGGGTGTGTCTGCGTCTGTCGCAGCCGCAGCATTTTTGTTTAACTAACCACATGCCACGCCCACACAGTAACACACATACGCACAGAGAGACAGAAACAGTCGCAAATTATTAGCAACCACAGCTGTGTCTGTGTGTGTGAGTGAGTCGTCAGCCAGACTGCGGTTACACTGCTGCTCTCAATTGTGCAGCAAATTATTTGCCAAACGCATTAGTAAAGCAAAATGGCACAAAGAGATTACATCGCTTGAAGATTTATTCGCAATATACTTCATTTTTCATATCGGCAAATTCTTATAACTCGATTATTTTATAAATAAATATTTAGAAGAATGGGCCACTTAGGGGCTCTCACATAATATGTATTAACGAGTATCGTTTCCCCCTCAAACTATTTTTATTGGTAAATTCTAGCAAAAACATTTAGTTTTTTTCAGAGAATATCATTATCCTTCATACTTGAGCTAAAAATGCTGGCATGATCCAAGGCCGACTCGCTGTCTGCACCTTGGGCGCCAACATTGCAATTCATATCGCAAAATCAATAACTGTTTTATAATGTGGCACTGCAAACGGGTGAAGGTGAAGGGGCAATAATAGCAACAACAATGACATTGTCGTTGTAATGGCGTCAGAGCCTCAATCTAACCTTAACACAAACAGCTGGCAGCGCTGCTGAATAACTACGCAGCTGAACAACAACAGGAACAGCATCATAAGCATAGACATCAACATAATCATGATGGCAAACTGACTGCCCTCGAGTGTTTTATCCTTGACAAATCCTTGTGCAACAATCAACAGCAACAGCAGCAGCAGCAGCAGCAGCTAGCAAATGAAAAAAGAAATTCTGAAATGCTGCAAAAAACATGCTAGAACATTAGAGGGGAATTGCAGGCGAGTAGTTAACAATGCCAAATGCGCAGCAAATGTCTGAATGAATGCACGAATGAATGCCATCGGTGGAGTGAGTTACAAGTGATGAATGAGACAAGCCTCGCCTCCCACAACTACTTTCATTTGTGCCCACACATAGGCACATAGACGATATGTCTTGGTGTAAGTGACACTGACAATGGCGCAAATCGTGGCTTTAATATGAATCTGAATCCCAGACAACGCCAAACTATACTTGCCTAGACACAAATAACAAAAGACAAGACAAGCAGTCGCAATTATTAATAGGTTTCAAGGCAATTTTCTATTTTCCACAGAAAAGTTATTCATATAGTCACAGAGAAGGCAACAATTTAGCCATTTCCTTAGTCGACTTTTAAGTAACGTAAATTCTGATCCACTGTGACTTACGTCTATTGGTCTGTGGACAAACAAGCTAAAACGTTACAAACCAATATTTCAGTTTAGCAAGTGAACGAGCCTTTCAGTTTAGCGAATGAACGAATCCTTCAGCATCAAATTACAACTGTCTAGTTATGCACGTGAACAAGTCTTTCAGCTTAGCGAGTGAACGGGGTTTTCAGCTTAGTGGGAACGAATCTTTCGGTTTAGTGAATAATCGAGTTTTTCACCTTCGAGCTATAACTGTAAAATTAAGCAAGTGAACGAGTCTTTCAGCTTAGCGAGTGAATGGGCTTTTCAGCTTAGTATGAGGGCGAATCTTTCAACTTAAAAGATAAACGAGTTTTTCAACTTCGAGCTATAACTGTATAACTGTATATATATAGTAAAGTTAGCAAGTGACCGAGTCTTTCAGCGAGTGAATGGGCTTTTCAGCTTAGTGAGTAAACGAATATTTTATGTGTTTAACGAATAAACGAGTTCTACAGTATAGCGAATGAACGAATTCTTCAGCTTACCGAGATGACTAGCCTTTCAGTTAAGTGAGCGAACGACTCTTTCAATTTAGCGTATGAACAATTCTTTCAGTTTAGCGAGGTTACAACTCACCTAGTTTAGAATAGGCAGAAGGAGCCATGACTAATCCCATATATTCTTGGTCAGGATGACAAGGAGAGTCGACTTAGCCCAGTTCGTCTGACTGTCTGTCCGTCAGTCGTACATGAAATGCGTCGATCTTAGCTCCTATGAGACCTACATACAGTTTATTTTGGATATCCAATCCATTTGTCCACAAATTTTTTTGTAATTTGTTTGCTAAAATGATTTTCCACAACAATGTTCCAAAAATGTTTAACTCTCTGCATTAAATATTTTAACTTTTTGATAGCAATTTTCTAATCTTTGCGTCATCCGCAAAAAATGTCAACAATTACAAGTAACGCAGCACCCAGAACTGCGACATGCCAAGCGTGTGCTACACTCATTTATAGTCAGCTTCATCCGCGCAAGCCGCAACGTTGACTCTTCGGGCTAAAAATAGGCACATGGGCGAGTGCAGGCAGCAGACAAACAATTTCGTCGAACATAAAATCGAGCACAACTTAATTAAATGTTGAAAGCGCGACCACAGAAACTGCGGTCGGGACCAGGTGTGAAACGCGAGCAGATAGGCAAAGGGAGTAAAGGTGAGAGTTGGTCGAATGACAAGTGGTGGGGTAACGCAAGACGTTGACAAACGCCTGACTTCATTTTCGGTAGATGGCTGTTGGAAATTAGCAAAGCTGTCAACTGTCAGCGGGTGGAGAATCTCCAGCGGGGTAGTGGAATGAGTATGAGTGTGTGGGTGTGTGCATGGAGTGTAGAAATATGTCTACAACTTCATGGCTGGCAGGCAACGGTAAGACAATGTGTCTCACCTGCTCTTCAACACCTTGAATCCTCTGTGGAACTTGCCGCCCCTAAAAACGAACTTGAGCTTGAGACACGCATGAGTGCGGCAAGTGCATGTGTTTGTGTGTGATTGTAAATTATGGCATGTCTACATCCGCTTGCCGCTGCTTGTCAGCCTGCCTGCCTGCTACCTGCTGCCCTTTGCCCTTTAGCCCTGCTTGTCCCGATGTTTGTAATTTGTTAATTTCCCGCATTTAGAAATTAATTTTCACTTCATGCGCCGCCAAGCAGACAACAGCAGACACAACGTCGAGTCAAGTTGACTACAGTGTCGCACATAAGTATGCTTTAATGTTCCACAGTACAACAACCAACGCAGGCGTTGGCAACATTTTATATTTAAATACTTTTCTTGTTCCCATTAATTGGTGCGCTTTGCTTTATATATATGTTTAAAAAATATATAAAAAAAAATTATAATAATAATAATAATAATAATAATATTAATAATAATAATAGTAATAACTATAATAATAATATTAATAATAATAATAATAATAATAATAAGAATAATAATAATAAAATTATAATAACAACAGCGTCTTAAGGGTGTTAAGTTCTGAATGCTTGTGTATTTGCTTTTACTTTTAATTTTATTATATGAAATACTGATTGAGTCTGCACAATATTTTTTGTAATTAAAGTAGGCGTGTGCACAATTTTCCATTTGCCTCGCCCGAAAAATTTGATATAGCCACTAGACTGTTTGCTTTTGAGTTATAGTGATGTCTAAATTTTAGCAGTGTGTAGAATTATATTACCCGCTTTTTTCTGATTTTATTATTCGGCAACTTTACAACTAAATTCTTTTAAATTCAAGATGTCCTTGTCAAAATTATCCTCAATTACTCTAAATAAGATCGTTTATAGAGGTTTATTATTTATGCATGATTGTGTGGACCGATCTCATCAGCCGGTCTTTAGAAGCAATATGCGGAGACTATCGTCCAAAAGCTCTGGCACCACAAAATCCTCTGATGCTTCCAATTGTGCAAAGAATAAGGAAAATAAGTCTGCTGCAATCGATAGAAAGAAGGATCAGGCAAAAATAGAAGCATACGAGAAGAAATGTATGGAAATTCAAAAAAAGGCCCTAGACGAAGAGATCAAAAACTTATCCACGCTAGACAAAAAATTAATTCAGAGCATGATGCAGTGTCTAGCAGAGGGTATGAAAAAAGCGTGTAAGGAACGGGCTGAAAAAAAAATTGCTGAAGATAAAGTCATCGATGCCCAATGTTTAGAGTTAGCCAAAATGGACAAGCTTCGAGCTTTGGTAAAGAAGTTTGAGGAAAAATCCAAAGCGAGTCCTTGCCCTAAGAGCAACTCTAAAACAAAATCATCTAAAGGGCAAAATAACCAAGGCAAACAGAAAGGTGGAGAGGATAAAAGTAAGAAATCGACTAAAAATAATGAAAAAGAAAAAGCCGGTAGTAAGCAAGATAAGAGCGGTAAGGATCCTATAGAAACAATATGTGATTCTTTAAAAGATAAGAAACCTGCGAAAGGAAAGCCAACAAATAAGTTCACGTTGAAATTTGAAAAATGCTTAAGAAACGAATGGGCCAATGTTTGTCAATGTCGCAAAAAATTTAGTATAATAGAGAAAAAGAAACTTGCAAAATTTCATAAAAACTTAGATGCAGAGTTTAAAAAAATATGCCCAGAGAAAGTTGAGAAAGAATTATGCAAGGAACTTGCGCAAGAAAAATCAAAGAAATCTAAAGAACAGAAAAAAGCTAAGAAAGAGAAGAAAGCTAAGAGCCCAGAGGAGGAGAAAAAGCAAACCGAACTTAAAAAAGAATTGCTTAAACAACAACAAAAAGAAGAAGAACTTATAAAATGTGAACTGAGAGATCTGAAAAAAAAATGCCAAGAGGCCGCTAAAAAGAAAGAAGAGGCTGCGAAAAAGGTGGCTGAACAAAAAAAATCTGCAGACTCGGCTAAAAAGTCGGGTGCGAAAAAATCTGGAGAATCTCCCAAAGAAAAGAAACCTGCAAATGCTGCTACACAAAGCAAAAAAGCGACCCAGAGCAAAAAAACAGATCCTGCAGCAAATAAAAAGCAGAAGGCTGATGGCAAAAAGCCTGTAAAGGGTGACAGCAAAAAGCCTGTAAAGGGTGATGGTAAGCAGCCTGCACAGAAGGGTGATGGCAAGCAGACTGCACAGAAGGGTGATGGTAAGCAGACTGCACAGAAGGGTGATGGTAAGCAGACTGCACAGAAGGCTACACAGAAAAAGGAGGGATCTGAAAAGAAACAGTGTGAAGAGAGGGCTAAGAAAGAGAAGGAAGCTGCTGAAAAGAAACAGTGTGAAGAGAGGGCTAAGAAAGAGAAGGAAGCTGCTGAAAAGAAACAGTGTGAAGAGAGGGCTAAGAAAGAAAAGGAAGCGGCTGAAAAGAAACAGTGTGAAGAGAGAGCTAAGAAAGAGAAGGAAGCTGCTGAAAAGAAACAGTGCGAGGAGAGGGCTAAGAAAGAGAAGGAAGCCGCTGAAAAGAAACAGTGCGAGGAGAGGGCTAAGAAAGAAAAGGAAGCCGCTGAAAAGAAACGGTGTGAAGAGAGGGCTAAGAAAGAGAAGGAGGCTGCTGAAAAGAAACAGTGTGAAGAAAGGGCTAAGAAAGAGAAGGAAGCTGCTGAAAAGAAACAGTGTGAGGAGAGGGCTAAGAAAGAAAAGGAAGCGGCTGAAAAGAAACAGTGCGAGGAGAGGGCTAAGAAAGAAAAGTTAGCCGCTGAAAAGAAACAGTGTGAGGAGAGGGCTAAGAAAGAGAAGGAAGCGGCTGAAAAGAAACGGTGTGAAGAGCGGGCTAAAAAAGAAAAGGAAGCGGCTGAAAAGAAAAAGAAAGATGAGAAAGCTAAAAAAGAGAAGGAAGCGGCTGAAAAGAAAAAGTGTGAAGAGCGGGCTAAAAAAGAAAAGGAAGCGGCTGAAAAGAAGCAGTGTGAAGAGCGGGCTAAAAAAGAAAAGGAAGCGGCTGAAAAGAAAAAGAAAGATGAGAAAGCTAAAAAAGAGAAGGAAGCAGCTGAAAAGAAACGGTGTGAAGAGCGGGCTAAAAAAGAGAAAGAAGCGGCTGAAAAGAAACGGTGTGAAGAGCGGGCTAAAAAACAAAAGGAAGCGGCTAGAAAGAAATTGGCTGCAGATAAGAAAAAAACTGCTGCCAAAAAATCTCCAAATGCTGCTCAAAACAAAGACAAAAAAGGTAGCAAAACCAACGCCCAAAATAATCGGAAGCAGAAGGGTCCTAAACAGAGTGGCAAAGATGTGGCCCTGGAAAATAAGAAAAGGAAGGAAGCTCTTAACAATAGGCAAAAGAAAGCGGCTGCGTTGAGGAAGAAGTGTGCCAAGACGGATAAAAAATCGTCGAAGAACGACAAAAATTCGAAACCGAAATAAGCGTATTTAAATTAAGAACATGCGGAATAGGTTTCAAAATTGTTGTTTGTTAATTTAGATTCCATTCAAACAAATTTGTGCCATGTTAAACCAGATCAGATTGAGACAAGGTTCTCAAATATTAGCTTAAGTGAGAAATAAATCATTAGTATTTAAAATTTGTATTTTTATTTAGTCTGTATATACTTGCATTTTGTGCAGGGTTTAGGGCTTAAGGCTTAAAATTCTAGTGTACCTTTGTTGCCAACTGCGTTGTGTTAAAAAAAACCATTAAGACATTAGCCTAGATTCAGCGGTATTATGTAACGTTTGGTTGTAGACAGCTACAGTCATGCATATTGAAGAATTGGTACGTCTAATGCACTTTCTTGACTTAGCTATAAATGTTGAGGCCATTGTCGTGGCAATTGTCACACTCCTAGAATAAAGTGAATACTTCTGTGCATTACATGTGCTCTGTTGGAAGTGGATCTTATGTTCTCAAGTTTACAAATAGATTTAGCTTTTAGACTACAGGAATGTGTGTGTGTAAAATATTGGTAAACATGGCGCAATTAGGTCTTGTGGAGTTCGGGGAAATCAGATGAAAGACCACCGGCGCATAAAGTGTACAATAAATGGAATTTGTGCAATGCGTGTGTGATTTGTATTGCAATAAGAGAATGTTTGAACTATTTGCTTCGTCCAAAGATTAATCTTTTAACAAGATTATTACTTAAACACAAAAACACAAAAACACAACAAAGAAGGCGCGTTGTTTTAAAAAAAATAGTGATTTTAAAATAGTTCTATTAAACACATTCGAGCTCTAGCAATGTCTAAATTTAAAACAAAAAACTTACTTTTTTAATTTAAACTTTTTGGTTTTGCCTTTGGCACTAAATTTTGAAAACATTTTCTGATGTCTTTGTGTAGATGCTCCTCCATTTGTCTGAGGAAGCCCATCCTTAGAAGTTTTACTTTTCTTAACAAGTATATAGACCAGTCACAACATTCAGGTGGTCTTAGCAGCTTCCAGCGGCTATCTTTCAGTAATACTGGAAAAAATGAATCAACGGACGACTCGAACCAGATCAGGTGTGATGCAGACAAGACAGCGGCAGATAAGAAAAAACAGAAACAGAAAGAAGAAGAACAAGCTAAAATAAGGGAATACAAGAGGGAATGCTTAAAGGTTCAAAAAAGAGTATTAGCGGAAGAAATACGATGTTCAGGCGAAAAAGACAGAATATTAATTCAGGGTATGATGAAATGCCTGACCGATGGTATGAAAAAGGCATGTACAAAAATAGCCAAAGCTAAACTCATTGCCGATAAAGAGCTTGCAGTCCAGTGTGCAGCACTATCTAAAAAAGACAAAGTTAAAGCATTGTTAAAGAAATGCGAAAGAGAAAAGTCAAAGGAAAAAGAATGCAATCAAAACTCACCAGCTGAGGGGGACAAGGATCGGACAAAGAAAGGAAAGACCAAAGGTAAATCTGGGGGTGGTAATAAGAAAAGATCGACTAAAGAAAACCGCGCTAAAAAAGGAAAGAAACTGGTTAAAAATAGATTCACTCAAAAATTAGAGCACTGCATCAAGAGCGAATGGGCAGATGTTTGTGAATGTCGTCAAAATTTTACAGAAGATGAAAGGAAAAGACTTGCAGCATCTTACAAATGCATGGGGACTAAAATTAAAAGTATTTGCAGAAAAAGGGTAATAGCCGAAATGTGCAAAGCAGCTGGATATGTCAAATCTAGCGAACCCAAAAAGAAAGGGAAAAAGAAAAAGAACGATGAAAAAAAAGAAAAGGAACTGGAGAGGGAAATACTAAAAGAACAAGCAGAGGAAGAAGCAAAAATCAGAGGTGTGGTAAAAGAAGTAAAGAAGAAATGCAAAGAAAAGGCTCTTAAGAAAAAATGTAAGGACTTAGGTAGAAAAATGAAGGAAGAAGCTGAAAAGAAGAAGTGTGCAGCCTTAGCAAAAAAACAGAAGGAAGAAGATGAAAAGAAAGCGTGTAAGGAGTTAGCAAAAAAGAAAAAGGAAGCAGACGAAAAGAAAAAGTGCGAAGAAGCTGCTAATAAGGAGAAGAAAGCAGCTGAAAAGAAAAAGTGTGAAAAAGCTGCTAAAGAGAGGAAAGAAGCAGCTGAAAAGAAAAAGTGCGAAGAGGCTGCCAAAAAAGAGAAGGAAGCAGCTGAAAGGAAAAAGTGTGAGGAATTAGCCAAAAACATAAAGAAAGCAGCTGAAAAGAAAAAGTGCAAAGAAGCTGCTAAAAAGGAAAAGGAAGCAGCTGAAAGGAAAAAGTGTGAGGAACTAGCTAAAAAGATAAAGAAAGCAGCTGAAAAGAAAAAGTGCGAAGAGACTGCCAAAAAGGAGAAGGAAGTAGCTGAAAGGAAAAAGTGTGAGGAATTAGCCAAAAAGATGAAGAAAGCAGAGATAAAGAAAAAGTGCAAAAAATTAGCTAAAAAGGAGAAGGAAACAGCTGAAAAGAAAAAGTGTGAAAAAGCTGCTAAAAAGAGGAAAGAAGCAGCTGAAAAGAAAAAGTGCGAAAAGGCTGCTAAAAAGAAGAAAGAAGCAGCTGAAAAGAAAAAGTGTGAAAACGCTGCTAAAAAGAGGAAAGAAGCAGCTGAAAAGAAAAAGTGCGAAGAGGCTGCCAAAAAAGAGAAGGAAGTAGCTGAAAGGAAAAAGTGTGAGGAATTAGCCAAAAAGATAAAGAAAGCAGCTGAAAAGAAAAAGTGCAAAGAAGCTGCTAAAAAGGAAAAGGAAGCAGCTGAAAGGAAAAAGTGTGAGAAATTAGCTAAAAAGATAAAGAAAGCAGCTGAAAAGAAAAAGTGCGAAGAGACTGCCAAAAAGGGGAAGGAAGTAGCTGAAAGGAAAAAGTGTGAGGAATTAGCCAAAAAGATAAAGAAAGCAGAGATAAAGAAAAAGTGCAAAAAATTAGCTAAAAAGGAGAAGGAAACAGCTGAGAAGAAAAAGTGTGAAAAAGCTGCTAAAAAGAGGAAAGAAGCAGCTGAAAAGAAAAAGTGTGAAAAAGCTGCTAAAAAGAGGAAAGAAGCAGCTGAAAAGAAAAAGTGTGAAAAATCTGCTAAAAAGAGGAAAGAAGCAGCTGAAAAGAAAAAGTGTGAAAAAGCTGCTAAAGAGAGGAAAGAAGCAGCTGAAAAGAAAAAGTGTGAGGAATTAGCCAAAAAGATAAAGAAAGCAGCTGAAAAGAAAAAGTGCAAAGAAGCTGCTAAAAAGGAAAAGGAAGCAGCTGAAAGGAAAAAGTGTGAGAAATTAGCTAAAAAGATAAAGAAAGCAGCTGAAAAGAAAAAGTGCGAAGAGACTGCCAAAAAGGGGAAGGAAGTAGCTGAAAGGAAAAAGTGTGAGGAATTAGCCAAAAAGATAAAGAAAGCAGAGATAAAGAAAAAGTGCAAAAAATTAGCTAAAAAGGAGAAGGAAACAGCTGAGAAGAAAAAGTGTGAAAAAGCTGCTAAAAAGAGGAAAGAAGCAGCTGAAAAGAAAAAGTGTGAAAAAGCTGCTAAAAAGAGGAAAGAAGCAGCTGAAAAGAAAAAGTGTGAAAAATCTGCTAAAAAGAGGAAAGAAGCAGCTGAAAAGAAAAAGTGCGAAGAGGCTGCCAAAAAAGAGAAGGAAGTAGCTGAAAGGAAAAAGTGTGAGGAATTAGCCAAAAAGATAAAGAAAGCAGCTGAAAAGAAAAAGTGCAAAGAAGCTGCTAAAAAGGAAAAGGAAGCAGCTGAAAGGGAAAAGTGTGGGGAATTAGCCAAAAAGATAAAGAAAGCATCGGAAAAGAAAAAGTGCAAAAAATTAGCTAAAAAGGAGAAGGAAACAGCTGAGAAGAAAAAGTGTGAAAAAGCTGCTAAAAAGAGGAAAGAAGCAGCTGAAAAGAAAAAGTGTGCAGAAGCTGCTAAAAAAGAAAAAGAAGCAGCTGAAAAGAAAAAGTGCGAAGAGGCTGCCAAAAAAGAGAAGGAAGCAGCTGAAAGGAAAAAGTGTGAGGAATTAGCCAAAAAGATAAAGAAAGCAGCGGAAAAGAAAAAGTGCAAAAAATTAGCTAAGAAAAAGAAAGCGGGTGAAAAGAATAAGTTAAAAAAGGGTAATAAAAAAGGAAAGAAAGCTTTAAAGGAAAAGAAAAAGTGTAGGGAATTAGCTAAAAAGAAAGCGGCTGAAAAGAAAAAGTGCAAAGAAGCTGCCAAAAAAGAGAAGGAAGCAGCTGAAAAGAAAAAGTGTGAAAAAACTGCTAAAAAGAGGAAAGAAACAGCTGAAAAGAAAAAGTGTGAAAAAGCTGCTAAAAAGAGGAAACAAGCAGCTGAAAAGAAAAAGTGTGAAAAAACTGCTAAAAAGAGGAAAGAAGCAGCTGAAAAGAAAAAGTGTGCAGAAGCTGCTAAAAAAGAAAAAGAATTAGCTGAAAAGAAAACGTGCGAAGAGGCTGCCAAAAAAGAGAAGGAAGTAGCTGAAAGGAAAAAGTGTGAGGAATTAGCCAAAAAGATAAAGAATGCAGCTGAAAAGAAAAAGTGCAAAGAAGCTGCTAAAAAGGAAAAGGAAGCAGTTGAAAGGAAAAAGTGTGAGGAATTAGCCAAAAAGATAAAGAAAGCAGCCGAAAAGAAAAAGTGCAAAAAATTAGCTAAAAAGGAAAAAAAAGCGGGGGAAAAGAATAAGTTGAAGAAGAAAGCTGGTAAGGGAAAGAAAAAATGTAAAAAATTAGGTAAAAAGTCAAAGAGAGCAGCTGAAAAGAAAAAGTGTGCAGAAGCCGCCAAAAAGGAGAAAGAAGCAGCTACAAAGAAAAAGTGTGAAGAGAGGGCTAAGAAACAAAAGGAAGCCGCTGAAAAGAAACAGTGTGAAGAGAGGGCTAAGAAATTAAAGGAAGCCGCTGAACAGAAACAGTGTGAAGAGAGGGCTAAGAAATTAAAGGAAGCCGCTGAAAAGAAACAGTGCGAAGAGAGGGCTAAGAAATTAAAGGAAGCCGCTGAACAGAAACAGTGTGAAGAGAGGGCTAAGAAATTAAAGGAAGCCGCTGAACAGAAACAGTGTGAAGAGAGGGCTAAGAAATTAAAGGAAGCCGCTGAAAAGAAACAGTGCGAAGAGAGGGCTAAGAAAGAAAAGGAAGCCGCTGAAAAGAAACAGTGCGAAGAGAGGGCTAAGAAAGAAAAGGAAGCCGCTGAAAAGAAACGGTGTGAAGAAGCTGCCAAAAGGGAGAAGGAAGCTGCTGAGAAGAAAAAGTGTGCAGAAGCTGCTAAAAAAGAGAAAGAAGCAACTGAGAAGCAAAAATGTGCAGAAGCCGCCAAAAAAGAGAAGGAAGCCGCTGAAAAGAAAAAATGTGCAGAAGCTGCTAAAAGAGAAAAAGAAGCTGCTCAAAAGAAAAAGTGTGCTGATCTAGCTAAAAAAGAGCAGGAACCAGCTGAAATGAAAAAGTGCGAAGAAGCTGCCAAAAAAGAGAAGGAAGCAGCTGAGAAGCAAAAATGTGCAGAAGCTGCCAAAAAAGAGAAGGAAGCCGCTGAGAAGAAAAAATGTGCAGAAGCCGCCAAAAAAGAGAAGGAAGCCGCTGAAAAGAAAAAATGTGCAGAAGCTGCTAAAAAAGAAAAAGAAGCTGCTCAAAAGAAAAAGTGTGCTGATCTAGCTAAAAAAGAGCAGGAAGCAGCTGAAAAGAAAAAGTGTGCAGAAGCTGCTAAGAAAGAGAAGGAAGCCGCTGAGAAGAAAAAGTGTGCAGAAGCTGCCAAAAAAGAGAAGGAAGCAGCTGAAAAGAGAAAATGCGAAAAAGCTGAAAAGGCAGCAGCTCTTAAAAGGCAATGCGCAAAGCTTGTTATAAGAGCAAAGGAAGCGGCTCTAAGGAAGAAATGTGCGATAATTGCTAAAAAAGCAAAAATGGCGGCTGAAAAGAAAGAATGCGAAAAATTAGCTAAAAAGGCAAAGGAGGCGATAGAGTGGAAAAAGTGTGCAAAATTGGCTAAAAAGAAAAGGGAAGCTGAGAAGAAGAAGTGTGCCAAATTGGCTAAAAAGGAAAAAGAGGCGGCTGAGAAGAAAAAGAGGTGTAAAGATTTGGCCAAAAATAAAAAGAAAGGACACAAAAAGAAGGGCCGAAACGAAAATCGGAAGAAACGGACTGACTGCTAGGAAAAAAGCCGCCAAAAGTATGAAGCTAGAAATTGTTTAAAATCAACAATAGTGGAAAAGAAAAGATTAAGAAGGCTACTGAGACTAATGGGAAGGAAGCATCGAAAAAGAACAAGGACAACTGATCAGAAATAAGCTAAGGACGCCACGGACTTTTAGAATTAAAATCTTATATTTGTATACAATAAATTTTTAGTCACGAACGTTTAACCCAGTATGATTTAAAGCTCAATTAGAAATATATAGATGAAATAGAAATGTATTTGTTATAAAGTACAGATCAATAAATTAATTTTAAAATTTATGATAAATTTTAAAATTTACAATTTAATTATCAACCGTTTTTACTATTTGCAGTGTTAGGGAGGCTAACCTAATTTCCATACCTTAAGTTTGAGGGCTAAAATATGAAAACATTTGTATTAATCGATCAATCCTTAACAAACTATTTCAAGTAATTGTACGCGTTTTTGGGAAAAATTGTCACAATCGAATTAACTCAGTAAATAAAAATTGTGCAATCACCGAGTTTGGCGATAGACAAGAATGCATTTGTGCACATGTATTGGAAAAAAGCGTAAGCTTGCAGCTGATTGCACGTGCATACACAGTATATTAATTAATTTATTTAAATTATAGAATACGTAACGCCATTTATTAAACGTTGAAAACATTAGAAAGGTACATGGCTCACTTTTAAATCGGTTGACGGGTTAAAAAGTTACGTGCTTTTTAATGATATGTTTTTGTGCTTGTGTCGTAAAAATACAATGGGACACAGAGCAAATATTAATTTTTTTTGTTTCTCCTGATCTATCACCATACGACTGTTATCTGTGCAGAAACTGAAAATTGCCTTAAAAGGAGCGTTTTACGATGATGTTCAAGCCATTCAAGCAGCCGTGACACAGGCGTTAAAGAACATTCCATTAGATGCCATAAATATAAATAAGTTTATCGTTCTAAAGGTTGTATGGAGTTAAATATAGACTTTTTCGAATAAAAAATCACTATTCTATATCTTAAAAGTCCCCTTATTCATTGAACATACTGTGCATGCTAATTGGCCAATCGTTTTGTTTAATAACTTCGTATTGCTTAACAGATTTCGATGATTATATGATATATTCTGCATATTCTATTGCAATAATGAAAAAATATAAAATTTTCACCATATTGGACATATTTGCAATTGAGCTTCAATTTAAAGAAATTATAGGAAATAGTTATTGATTATTTACAAATCTAGATATAAGTGCTGTATACGGACCAGCAGATAAAGTTCATGGTTTCGTACAGAAAGACAGACAGATCTCACACGACTCAGCTCGTCGTCCTGATCAAGAATATTTTTATAGGTTTCACATACTCTAACAATGCCGTTATACCCTGCTATGTTGCATAAAGTCCCACTGCAATTCTTGCGCATATAACATTATCATTAAAGTGCTCTACTTAAGAGTTCATTGCTACTATTGTATATTTTGTGTTACTATAGAAAAGGAACGAACAGGATATAGAAGACCATAATCGACGTGGTTACAGGCTGCATGTGTCATATAAAATCAAATCAAGACTATAAATTTACGTACTCCGTTGTATAATTTCTTAGTAGAATCAATGAAAAAATTACAGAAGCTTTTACCAATCGGTCGAATAGAAGCTCATTCTTAATAGGTATACATACATACAAGCCAATTATCCTATTGCCCAAAGCGCATATTTATCTCCGATTTGCATTCGGTTAAAATTTTGAAGACACTTTGTTTACAAATCAAAATTGAGTTTGTCAAGGCATGCTGATCCCATTTCAATTTCATAAGAGTTCTCTCAGATTTATATATTAATTCAGTCTCAAATAGGGAAGCATCTGGTTTAGGTTTTTTTCGAGTATACAAATTTTCAAAATTTAATAGTTAAAAAAAAAAAAAAAATTAAAAAAATTTTCATTTAGTGTTTTTATATTGTAGTTTGGTACATAAATTAATATATCAAAATTCACCATGCTTCTAAGTCGGTTTGCCTGTGCTCTTCCACGTAAAGTCGTTGCCAAAAGCGTTTCCACCTTAAATGGACACGTCGATAAAAAATGTCTAGTTCGGTCATCGTTTGATAGTTATCAGCGATTCTCATTTAGCAAACAATGTGATGATGAAAAGAAAAAGGCGGAAGAAGCTGCGAAAAAGAAGTGTGAAGAGGCTGCTGCAAAGAAAAAGTGCGAAGAGAGGGCTAAGAAAGAAAAGGAGGCAGCTGAAAAGAAAAAGTGCGAAGAAGCTGCTAAAAAGAAAAAAGAAGAAGCTGCAAAGAAGTGTGCAGAGCTTGCTAAGAAACAAAAAGAAGCGGCTGAAAAGAAAAAGTGTGAAGAGGCTGCCTTGAAGAGGAAGTGTGAAGAAGCTGCCAGAAAAGAAAAAGAAGCGGCTGCCAAGAAAGAAGCTGAACTCAATAAAAAGTGTGCTGCTCTTCAGTTGAAGAAAAAATGTGCTGAGGCTGCAAAGAAAAAGGCTGCCAAGGCTGCTGCAAAGAAAAAATGTGCAGAGGCAAAAAAGAAGGCTGAAGAGGCCGCTCTAAACAAAAAGTGTGCAGAAGCTGCTCTAAAAGAAAAGTGCAAAAAGAGTGGTAAGAAAGGTTGTAAAAAGGGAAAGAGTGACTAAGGCAAAAAAGCAAAATAGATATGTGGAACCCTTCTAAATATATACAAATCAGAAACGTAAAAGTGACTATATGGTTCAAAAGGGGTCCGGGGAAGTATGGAGTAAGCAAAATTTCTTAAGACTGCTAGGGATAACATTGAAAAGACATAACATTAAAAAAAAGAAAAAGTTTTCCGTTACAAAATCCGTATATGCATCCAGATATCAGATTAATAAAGGAATATGCTGTAATAAAGTATGGAAAATATCCTAAATTTTTAATTGATCTTAATGTATTTTACACAAGTGGCAATGATTAATTTGTAAAGCACAAAAGGAAGAAATTCTACTATCCCGGAGAATCCATTGTCTTTTGGTAAATGTTTTAGGTGGTTTAATGACATTACAGTAATAAAAAAGAACGCTTTACTTTCTGAAGCCATCCAGATTAAAGATTAATAAAAAAAAGAAATGTGCTGTAATAAACTATATAAAGAACTAAAAATTCTGTGCAAGCGTATTTAAATGCTTCACGTACTTTTTGGTTAAATCCAACCGACGATGCTTACTCAAATAGTGGGACTGGTTGTATTAATATTTATGATTGTATAAATAGAATTTATTTAACACACCGGTGGCAAGGTAAGATGTTAATCAATTTCTAAGCTTTAATCGGCGGTGGTTAGGCTTGATCACAAGGCAGAAATTCTAGTAACGCAAAATCTATTACCCATTACACGACATATAGTATCTTTTGTGGATAATTTTTTGGCAATTGAGGGATGATAATATTATGAATTATTGGTGAAAAGGCTAATTAACCATTCTTAAGAATTTGAGACGAAGTGCCTCTACATATAAATTCACGATTTATGACTACATGAAAGACTTATGAGGTCTGCCAATTAACCTAATCGAAAATTATCCTATTTCAAAAATTAAAAAAAAAAACACTGTTTACAACTTTAAATAGACTTTTTCAAGGCTTGCTGATCCCATTTCCATTTCATACGAGATCTTATTGATTATTATATTTCTCCAGTCTCAAATAGTCAACCATCTGACAAAAATCATTTTCGCATTTAAAATTTTCAAAATTTAGAGCTTTTAAAAAGGCTATTGTTTTAGTATATTGTAGATTGATAAACGAATTTATATTTCCAAATTTGCCATGCTTCTAAGTCGGTTTACTTCTGTTTTTCCACGTAATGTCATTGTCAGGGGTGTTTCCACGCTGACTAGCCATGTGGACAGAAACTATCTAGTTCGGTCTTCATTCGACAAATGTCAGCGGTTCCCATTCAGTGATTCAAAACAAGAAGCGGAAGATGTAAAGAAAAAGTGTGAAGAGGCTGCTGCAAAGAAGAAGTGTGCAGAGGCAGCCAAAAAAGAAAAGGAAGCGGCGGAGAAAAAAAAATGTGCTGAAGCCGCTAAAAAGGAGAAGGAAGCGGCGGAGAAAAAAAAATGTGCTGAAGCTGCTAAGAAAGAGCAGGAAGCTGCTCAAAAGAAAAAGTGTGCTGAATTAGCTAAAAAGGAGAAGGAAGCTGCTGAAAAGAAAAAGTGTGCAGAAGCTGCTAAAAAGGAAAAGGAAGCAGCTGAAAGGAAAAAGTGTGAAGAGGCTGCGTTTAAGCAGAAGTGCGAAGAAGCTGCCAAAAAAGAAAAAGAAGCCAAGAAAGCAGCTGAACTTCAGCAGAAGTGCGCAGCTCTTGCTAAAAAAGAAAAAGAAGCAGAAATGATGAAAAAATGCGAAGAAGCTGCCAAAAAAAAGGCTGCAGAAGAAGCTGCAAAGAAAAAGGCTGAAGAGGTTGCTGCAAAGAAAAAGGCTGACGAGGCTGCTGCAAAGAAAAAGTGTGCAGAGGCAAAGAAAAAGGCTGAGGAGGCTGCTCTTAAGAAAATGTGTGAAGAGGCTGCTCTTAAGAAAATGTGTGAAGAGGCTGCTCTGCAGAAAAAGTGTGCAGAAGCTGCTAAAAACGCTAAAAAGACCGATTCAGAAACATGAAAAGGTGGCTTAATATGTGAAACTCTTTTAAAATATATGGTGCAAAAGTAACGCTGTGATAAACAATGAAGAGAAGGGTTCACTTTATACAAAAAGTGATCTTAAAAATAATGGACGTTTGAAGCGTTAACTTTGGGCCCATATAGTTAAATGGATTACAGAACACAATGAAAAAAGAATGCTGTAATAAAGTATACGATGTGTATATAAACCCTTTTTCATTGACCGCTAATTTAGCGGTTTGGGTTAAGAGGTGTCTTGTTTACTGATCCCGCAATTTAAAGTGCTAATGGCTAATGGTTTTTAAGCGTAGCTTGAGTACTGTAAGTGTTGGCAACGTCAGATTTACTGTTTAGGTTCCTGTAATAAATGCATAAGATATTGGTGGACACTTCCCTCATTCCCCTTTCCATTAAATTCACGATTACCAGAAACTTGGGCTGAACCAAATAAAAGCATTTGGATGCCGTAATTTCAAGAAAGTTCATATCTAGATAAAAAGTTATTAAATAATGAGTTGCCATAGTAATAAAGCCCGTACTGCTGCAGCCCAAGCACAGCACATGCGTCAACAGCTTACGCATGCGCGTGTATGTATTGAATGCAATATATATATAGCGGAATCCTAGAATGTCGAGTCGTCTCAGCTAGAGAACTCTTTCGTTTATTCTATAAACATAACAATTGCAGTTTTTAGTAACACAAAAAAGGGAACGGTAGCAATGAGCTTTTGAATAGATCATTTTAACGATAAACTGATTTGCGCAAAGATTGCAGTGGGACTCAGAGAGTTTGAGAAGCGTAGCTGGTTATAACGGCATTGTTGGAACGTGTGTAACACACAGACGGAGGCGTGGCAGACCTCATATAGTACATATATTTTTGATTAGGACGACAAGCCGAGTCGATTGAAATCTGTTTAGCTTTCCGTCTGTTCGTCTGCCCGCTTATCCGTTTGTGTGAACTTTTCGATCTCAGTATCTATAAGAGACTTGAAATTTTGTAGGTCCGTGTATACCACGCGCATAACTATTCCCATTTAATTGTTATCGAATAAAATCATGACCGAAATGTAGTTAATAAATTATATCTCGTACGTCTTAAGAGCTAGAGCCTCCAAATTTTATATTTAGTTTTATGTATATTTTAAGCAATTTTAATTTTTATAGGTTTTTGGATACCTGTTCCCAGTTTTCCAAAATTCTTAAAATTTCAGTTTAGTTGGAACTAGGGTCATTAGGTGACGGCGGTTGAATCTTAACCAAGCCAATAGAAGATGTAGACCATATGCTTAAAATTTCATTAAAATCTATTAAACTAATACAGGAGTTATTAAACAAAACGTGTGGCTAATTATTCTATTTTTCCTATACGTGTGCACACATACATTCACATGCGTGTATTCTTTTCTATTCGACGAATCGAAATTGCGATTGAATTATACTGAATTATCAGCTGCTACTTAATTTCAATTTTGCAACTCTTTCTGCAAGTAGTGCAGCGACTGCGTTGATAGAGGCGGCGCTCTCAAGCGACTAGTGTTGGTAGAGTTGATGCGCGTTGCGTATTTCTACGTCGGCTCGAATCTGGGTGTTGTAATGTCAGTTTTTTTATGAATACTCGATACAAACCACGGAAAATATTTAAAAACGCAGATAGGGATGGGATCAGGGCATCTCCTAGTCTAGACTAAAGATTTCTTCCTTTTTTTTGTTTTAATTAAGAAAGAGCGGTGTTGGTAAAGCTGATGCGAGTTGCTTAAGCAATGTTGGTTCGAATATCGGTTTCGTAATATTGGTGCTTTGTAATACTAGCTAGAAATTGTCGAAAATATTGAAAAACCTAGATAGGACTGGGGTCAGGATATCTCCAAGTCCGACACCAACTGTGGAGTATATTTAAAAACGTAGCTCGGACGGGATTCAGTGTATCTCGCATTGGGGTAAAGGGTATTCCCTAGGCAGGGTACTCCCTAGGCGGGCACTTCCAACTAAACACCCCTAATCTTTTAAACACAAAAAAAAAATGCTGGGCATACTATGTTTGTCTCAATTTCATAGGTACTGATGGGGATGTTATTATTTCTTCAGTCTAACTCAATCATTCATTTGGCACAGTTCAATTTTGGTTTACAAAATTTTAAAATTGTAGAAGTTAAGCTGACATTTTCAAAACTTTAAATTTTTAAATTTTATTAAAATTTTTCAGTTTAACATGAGTTTCTTAAGTCGTTTTGTTTGCGCTGTGCCGCGCCAAGCTATTTTCAGAACTTTTTCTACTTTAACTGGTTCTTCCGGTTGCAAGTACCTACCAGAATCCACTTTTAACACTATTCAGAAGGTTTCGTTTTGTAAGAAAAGCGCCAAGGGTAAAGATGGGGATCTGAAGAAGAAGTGTGCAGAAGCTGCCAAAAAAGAGAAGGAAGCAGCTGAAAAGAAGAAGTGTGCAGAGGCCGCCAAAAAGGAGAAGGAAGCTGCTGAAAAGAAAAAGTGTGCAGAAGCTGCTAAGAAAGAGAAGGAAGCCGCTGAGAAGAAGAAATGTGCAGAAGCTGCCAAAAAAGAGAAGGAGGCTGCTGAGAAGAAGAAATGTGCAGAAGCTGCAAAAAAAGAGAAGGAGGCTGCTGAGAAGAAGAAATGTGCAGAAGCTGCCAAAAAAGAGAAGGAAGCTGCTGAGAAGAAAAAATGTGCAGAAGCTGCTCAAAAGAAAAAGTGTGCTGAATTAGCTAAAAAAGAGCAGGAAGCTGCTGAAAAGAAAAAGTGTGCAGAAGCTGCTAAAAAGGAGAAGGAAGCTGCTGAAAAGAAAAAGTGTGAAGAGAGGGCTAAGAAAGAGAAGGAAGCCGCTGAAAAGAAAAAGTGTGAAGAGAGGGCTAAGAAAGAGAAGGAAGCCGCTGAAAAGAAAAAGTGTGAAGAGAGGGCTAAGAAAGAGAAGGAAGCCGCTGAGAAAAAAAAGTGTGCAGAAGCTGCTAAGAAAGAGAAGGAAGCCGCTGAGAAGAAAAAATGTGCAGAAGCTGCTCAAAAGAAAAAGTGTGCTGAATTAGCTAAAAAAGCAAAAGAAGCTGCTGAAAAGAAAAAGTGCGCAAAGAAAGCAGGTGAAAAAGGAAGTAAACAGAGTGGTAGTGATAAGGGTAAAAAGAATGGAAAGAAAAATGATATGAAGAATAAGTGTGCAATGTTAGCTAAAAAAGCAAAGGAAGAAGCTCTTAAGAAAAAATGTGCGGCTGCACAGAAAAAGTGTGAGCCAAAGAAGTAAGTCTGTCAAAGACTACTAAGCAACATGAAAGAAAGACTTCATTTCAACCATAAGGGCTCAAAGACTCTGCCAAGGCCGCTATCACCAATGCGGCTAAATAAAACAAAGATGAGGCTCCTGAGGTACAAGGGACTGAAGTGTTGAAGTAGATTATGTAGGTTTTGCGTTTTCCAGAAGCTTTAGATGGTCGAACTGCTCGAAGATGGTAAATTTGGATAAGATATAAATTTAAACGTTATAAACTAGAGAAAGACAATAAATTATTTATTTATATTTAAACTGTAAACTTTCACTTTTCGCATAATGTAGCATTATCTTAGTGTGAAGTAGTTTCTGATTTGGTAAATTTCCATGTCGAAATTTAACCTTCCGTACAATGGTTCGTATACACTTGTTTCAGTCAAAGTGTTCTCTTCCTGCGCATGCTCATTGCGTGCTCACTGCAATTGAGTAATTTAGCATCTGAAAGCAATTGGTTTTTAAATTGGTGATCCCTCAACAGAAGAGCTATAGGTTATGCATAGGAAATATTAGTTCTTGCCCTAGCATATTGGTCGACTAAATATTTAATAAATTGTTTTTAATGCGAAAATGCTTACTTTCGATATATTTAGTATATGATTATAAATATATTAACCAACAAGCTCCATCATTGTTAATATCGATCTTATAAAACCAATTTTTAAGCTAATAAATCAGTTTGACGTATCAATCATTATTTAAGAGGTTTAAATCATTTTTATATATAAATAAAAAAAGATGTATTGTGCAAGTCAAATTACGTTAAAAAGCTTAATTCGTTTTGTCGATCGAAACTATCGTGGTATTCAATAGACTTTCAGTGATTTTTGTTTTTCAATTAAAATAACGACAATAGAAGATTGTTAAAAAAAAAAATAAAATAAAAATATGTTATAACCTGGAAAATAATTCTGAAAAAGAAGGTAAAATAATGGAAAAAAAAACCCTACAACGACAGATAAGAATGCTAATGCAGAGCTAAAGGTCGAAAGAAGAAAAACAAATATCATGTATATCAAAAACAATAAATCTCATTTATTATTGTGTCGTAGGTTTTATGATTTCTTTTATACCATAAAGTATTTATTATAAAATATATATTGTATTTCCAGTCAGTTCTATTCAGCAACAAAATATAAATTTAACGGTAGATAAGCTAGAAAACTAAAAATTAAATTATTTCACTTTCATAGTTGTTGAGATTCGCGTAAGATATGTGCAAATACACTGAGGATGGATACAAATTACTCAGTGGCTTATACGACAGATGCTTACAGATAAGACGTTGTAAGATGTAGGTTGGACTTCACCACCAATATAATACATTAATGTACATTTTATTGATCTAGAAAAATTTGCAAACATTTTTATTTTTGTTTTATTCGAATATTGAATGACAGATCGAAAAACGCCCACTGTATGCAAACCAGTTTCGGTTGGAATGCTTGCTGATTATGATTTCACTTTAGAATATGCTGTGTTGAATTTAAAAGCACCTCAGTCTAAAATAGAGAATCATCTAAAATAGGTTAGGTTCGTTTTTTAATAATGTCAAAATTTTTGCAAAAACCACAATTGAAGCAACAAAATTAACAGTTTATTATATAGATTTTGGATTTCGCACCACAAAATTATATATTAAAAGTTCACCATGTTGTTTTGCCGTTTTTATTGCGGGGTTTTGCGTAAGGCCATGTACAGAAGTATTTCCATCATAAGTGAGTCTCTGGATCCAAAGTGTTTGCCGCGAGACTCGGTAAACAACTTACAACGCATTCCGTACAGTAAGAAAAGTAATTCGGGCTCTGATTCCTGTAGTAAGAAAACAACAGATGGTCAGAAAGAACCCACGGAACATGTGGAGAATGGGAGTAGTAAAGAAGACTGTGACATTGAAAAACAAAGAGATGCAGATAAACTTAAGCTGTTCGAGGAACTATGTATGGCGGAACAAAAGAAAATGTTGGCTAAGGAAATAAAGACAATGCCGAAGAGCGAACAAAAAGTATTGCAGAGTATGTTGCCGTGTCTTGAAAAAGGGATGGCTGAAGAGTGTAAGAAGAAAGCTGCAGATCAGCTTAAGTATGAAAAGCAGCTTGATAAAAATTGCGCACTGATAGACAAAAAAGAAAAGATTAGAAAGTTATTAGAGTGCTGTGAAAATAACAACGCTAATGAATCTAATTCAAAAAAATGTGAGGAATCTGCGAGCAAAACGGAATCTGAGATCGACCCAATAGAAAATATATGTCTGTATTTAAAATTGAGTAAAGATAATCCGAAACCTACAGAAAATCCAGACAGTCCGAAAGATCAATACCTATTAAAACTAAAGAAAACTATAAGAAAACAGTGGAGCGATATATGCTTGATTCGTCCAAAACTAACAAAAACTGAACAGAAGAAGCTTACGCTTTTTCACAAATGTGTGGCATCACAAATTAAGAACATGTGCAAAATGGAGGTGTTGAAAGAGATGTGCGAGGAAAGTAAGAAATCTGCCGAAAAAAATAAAAGAAATGCTGAGTCTCAGAAGTGTGAGCGCAAAGATACGAAAAAAAATGTTAAAACTCAACAGAAAGAGGAAAACTCTTCCGCAAAACAGGTGGCTGCAACTGAGAAAAACGGTATAATTAAGGGTCGAAAATCACGGAAAGAAAAGTCTAACAATTCGAAGAAACGAGGAACACAGAGGGATAAAAAATTCGAAAGTGATTTGAAAGCTTCCAAGAATGAGAACGATCTGAATGTTGAAAAGAATAATAAGAAAGGAGAGAAACCTAACGAGAAAAAGTCTGATATGGAAGGCACTAGAATGAATGATGATAGAGATAAGAAATGTATGGAGGGAAATGAAATCAAAAAGATAGTTGAGAAAAGAAAGCAATGTACTGAAAAGAAAGAAACTGAAGAGGATCTTAAAAAAAAATGCAAAGAGGGAGCTAAACGGAAAAAGGAATATAAAGCTGCTTTAGAAAAAATGAAAAAAGAAGCCGAGCTTAAAAAGAAGAATGAAGAAAAGGCTCTTAAAAAAAAGGCAGAACAAGATGCTCTTGAAAAAAAGAAGATTGAAAATGCTCTTAAGAAAAAAGAAGAAGAAGAACGCCAAAGAAGAAAGAAAGACGAGGAGATATTTAAAAAAAATTGTGATGCAGCGGCTCTACGGAAGAGGTTGAGGGCACTTAAGAAAATTTGTGAAGAAAAGATTCATAAGAAAAATAAGGAGGCGGAGAATCTAAAAGCATTGATCCGGGAAGACAATATGAAAAAGAAAAAATCAAACGCAATAAAGAAACGTAATGAAAAATCGAATGATGCTCAAAAATGTTCCAAAAAAGAGGCTAACAAAAATAATAAAGAAGCGGATCCAGAAAAGCAAAAACGAGATTCAAAGCATAAGAAGGCGGCTTCTCAAAATAATGTCGATGTGAATGCTCTTGAAATGAAAATTAAGGAGCTTCAGATGAAATGTGAGAAGGAAGCGCGTAAAAAAGAACAGGAAGAGCAAGGAGACTGTTTCAAAAAAGAAAAAGCAAGCGCAAAGAAAGAAAATGAAAAATCGAGTGCTGCTAAAAAATCTTCTCAAAAAGATTGTCTCAAAGAAAAAAGTGCAAAGAAAGAAAATGAGAAATCTTCAAAAAAAGAGGCTGAGAAAAATAATAAACAAACGGATCCAAAAAATAAAAAACGAGCTTCAAAGCAAAAGGAGGCGGCTTCTCAAAATCAGGTCGAGGCGGATACTCTTGATATGAAATTTAAGGAGCTTCAGATGAAATGTGCGGAGGAGTCACGTAAAAAAAAACAAGAAGAAGAATCTCAAAAAAACAAAAAAAAATAGTCTAAAAATATATCTTTCCTTGCTATCAAATTATTAGTTTGACATTCTTTTACCCAATGGGGTACATTTATATTTATCAATAAAATAATTCATATGTACTGTATAAATTTTTTTAAAAATCTAAAGTTTTGCAAATTGGAGAAACAATACAAATTTATTCAAAATATTGTGATGTATTCTCCTTTTCTGTCTTTCATTTAGGGAATACGAAGTATTGGCAGAATATTTTATTCTGTATTAGTTTGGATTATATACAAACATTTAAGACTCAAATTTGATTAAGCCTTTTATTCAGAATATACATATATCTAGTACTCCTTTTTAAAAGTGTACAAGTCAAATTTTCGAATCAGAATGCTCAGATCAGAATGGTCAAGACTACAAAGCAGTAAATTTTTGGTTCTCATGATGTTAAAATTTTAGCTACAACACTTTCTTATTAAATACAAAATTGTTTTTGTTTCATTTGCGGTATAAATACTAAAATTTTGTCAATCAGCATGTCTTTTAACAGACTTACATCCGTTTGTATGCATAAGTCAATATTGAGAAGCATTTTTATTCTTACGGGCTATTTGGACTGTATGCATTCCACAAAACTTTCGATAAAATATACGCAAGCTATGTCCTATAATAAAAAATCGGACTCAGTTTCGGGATCTTCTGATATTCAGCAGAATCCTTGTGACTTATATACAAAAATAATGTATAAAAAAGAGAAGGAAAAAGAAAAACAAGAAGCGGCCTACAGAAAGCTGAAAGAAGAGCAACAGCTCAAGAAATATGAAGAAAAATGTATGATAGGTCAAAAAAGAAAGCTGACCGAACAAATACAGTGCATGGATAAGAAGGAAAAAAAATTATTGGAAAGTATGATGGACTGTTTAACACGCGGCATGAGAAAAGCCTGCAAAAAACTAGCGCAAAAGAAGCTTCGCAATGATAGAGAACTTGCCCAAAAATGTGCAGTCAGGATTAAAGCGGAAAAAATCAAAAAGCTATTGAAACTTTGCGAAAAAAAGAAAACGAATGCTAATAGTTTTGGGGATAAAAACACAGAAGACTCAAAAAAGAAATTTAAAAAAAAATGTAAAAAAAAAATAGACAAGACACAAGAACCCAAACAAATGGAAATGAGTCGGGATAGTAATAAACGGAAAGATAAATTCAACCAGAAGCATAAATCTGAAAACACGCCAAAACTTCAAAAAGCTGAAAGTCGAAAATCGGCACCTAATAGTAGCGATCCAATTGAGGATATTTGCGCTTCCTTGTCCAGAAATAAAAAAATGGAGAATTTCTCAGAAAATCCGCAAAGCCAATATTTAGCTAAATTAGAGAAATGTATTCGAAAGGAATGGTTAGATATCTGCATGTGCCGAAAGACTTTTACCAAATGTGAAAAGATCCAACTGGCCCGTTCTCATAAATATCTGCTAACTTGCATTCGAGAGCAATGTAAACAAAAAGTAGCGGCAGAAATATGCTCCGCATTTAAACCACCGAAGCCCAAAAATAAATCAGCTAAAGGAAATAAATTGAGAGAGCACAACAAATCTATCGTAAGTATAGTGGACACAAATAAATTGGAAGCGATCAGCAAAAATAAGGACTTACAGAAGGATGTTATAAAGGCAAAACGCGAACAAAATGAGTTTATCAAGAGCGAAATACAAAAACTTAAGAAAAAGTGCTTGGACTATGCATATAAGAAACAATGCGAAGCAGATGCTCTGAAAAAAAAGCAGGAAGAAGCCATGAAGAAAAAGTGTGAAGAGGCGGCTCTGAGAAAACAGTGCAAAGAGCTGGCTCAAAAACTGAAAGAGGAGAGCTTGAAGAAAACATTTGAAGAGGAGAAAGCGACGCAGGAACATCAAAGCAAGCCATGCGCAGAGAAAAAAGCGAGACACGAAGAAGATGCTCAGAAGAGAAAGCGCAAAGGGAAAGCTGTTAAACAAATGTGCGAATCTCTTCAAATAAAGCAAAAAGAAGAAGCTCTCAGAAAAAAATGCGCTTTACATAGAATACGACAAAAGGATCAAGAGCAGACAGAAAAAGATGTTCAGAAGAAAGACTGCGACGAATTGGAAATGCAAGACAAGTCACAGAAAAAGAAGAAAGATCACATTAATAATAAATGCGAAGAGCAGAAAGAGAAGGAAGAAGACGCTCAACAGCAAAATTGCGATGTAGAAATTCTTCATGAAAAATGCGAAGCGCTTATTAAACAAATTGAAAATCAAATGCGTGAGGATGCTGATAAGCAGCGAGAAGAGACTCAAAGACAAATATGTAAAGCGGAAGTGAAGAAAAAGCAAAAGGAGGAGCCACTTAAGAAATATTTCGAAAAAGAGAATGAAACGAAACGAGTAGAGATTCTAAAGAAAAAAATTCAAGACCAGAAGAAACACTATTTAACAGGTGATGAAGCTGATTTGAAGGGAAAGTGTGAATCTCTCAAAAAAAAATTACAAGAAGTTATCAGGAAAAAGTGTGCTATGAAAACAGTGCGAGACATGGCTGAAAGGCAGAAACATGAAGAGGAGGCTAAAAGAAAGAAGATAGAGAACGAAATAAAACGCAACGTCACTCAGAAAAAAAAAAAACGAAGAAGAAAACTTAAAAGAAAAGTGCACAACTCTAAAAAAAATATTAGAAGAAGACGATTTAAAAATAAAGTGCGCTTTGAAAAAATTGAGAGACCTTGCTAATAAGGAAATGCTCATTGAACAAGACAAAAGAAAAAAGTGCGAGCAAAATAATCACGAAGACGCTCAGGAAAATGAATCTTTAAATGAAGCTCTTAAAATTAAACTGGAAGACGCTATTAGGAAAAAGTGTGAAATGAAAAAAGTGAGCGAGGCCTTAGAAAAGAGGATGGAAGAAGAAGCTCAAAGAATGAAATGCGAGGAGGAAAAGAAACACAACGATAAACTAGAAAAAAAAAGGAAAAAATCTCGTAAGATGCCAAGCGGAGCTCTGAGGAAAAACCATGAAGAAGACGCTGTTAAGAAAAAATGTGCAATCAGAAAAACTCGTGACGCGGCAGAAAAGAACAAGAAAGAAGAGTTAGAAAGAAAAAAGAGCGAGGAGGCAAAGAACCACAGAGAAGCTCTAAAGAAAAGGATCGAACTAGAAGCTTTTAAGGAAAAGTGCGAAGCTCTTCGGAAAAAGCAGGAAGAAGATGCCATTAGGAAGACGTGCTCCGTGAAAAAAATTCGAGATGAGGCTGAAAAAAATATTCAAGAAGATACAGAAATACAAGCTTTTACAGCAAAGTGCGACGCTCATAAGACAAAGCAAGAAGAAGACGCTATTAGGAAAAAGTGTGCAATGAAAGAAGAGGCAGAAAGACAAAAGGATGAGGAGGAAAAGAAGCGAAAAGAGGCTCTAAAAGCAAAGATCGAACAAGAAGCTTTAAAGGAAAAGTGCGAAGCTCTTCGGAAAAAGCAAGAAGAAGATGCCATTAGGGAAAAATGCGCCGTGAAAAAAATTCGAGATGCGGTTGAAAAAAAAATTAAAGAAGAGGCAGAAAGACAAGCTTTGAAAGAAAAGTGCGAAGCTCTTAAGAAAAGGCAAGAAGAAGACGCTATTAGGAAAAGGTGCGCATTGAGAAAAGCGCAAGAAGCAATTGAAAATAACATGAAAGAACAAGCAGAAAGACTAAAGGATGAGGAGGAAAAGAAGCAAAAAGAGGCTCTACAAGAAAAGGTCGAACAAGAAGCTTTCAACGAAAAGTACGAAGCTCTTCGGAAAAAGCAAGTAGAAGATGCCATTAGGGAAAAATGCGCCGTGAAAAAAATTCGAGATGCGGTTGAAAAAAAAATGGAAGAAGAAGCAGAAAGACAAGCTTTGAACGAAAAGTGCAAAGCTCTCAAGAAAAAGCAAGAAGACGCTATTAGGAAAAAGGGTGCAATGAGAGAAGAGGCAGAAAGACAAAAGGATGAGGAGGAAAAGAAGCAAAAAGAGGCTCTAAAAGCAATGATCGAACAAGAAGCTTTTAAGGAAAAGTGCGAAGCTCTTCGGAAAAAGCAAGAAGAAGAAGCCATTAGGGAAAAATGCGCCGTGAAAAAAATTCGAGATGCGGTTGAAAAAAAAATTAAAGATGCAGAAAGGCAAGCTTTGAAAGAGAAGTGTGAAGCTCTTAAGGAAAGGCAAGAAGAAGAAGCTATTAGAAAAAAATGTGCAATGAAAGAGGCAGAAAGGCAAAAGAATGAGGAAAATAAGCGAAAAGAGGCTCTAAAAGCAAAGATCGAACAAGAAGCTTTTAAGGAAAAGTGCGAAGCTCTTCGGAAAAAGCAAGAAGACGCCATTAGGGAAAAATGCGCCGTGAAAAAAATTCGAGATGCGGTTGAAAAAAAAATGAAAGAAGATGCAGAAAGACAAGCTTTGAAAGAAAAGTGCGAAGCTCTTAAGAAAAGGCAAGAAGCTATAAGAAAAAAATGTGCATTGAAAGAAGAGGCAGAAAGACAAAGGGATGAGGAGGAAAAGAAGCGAAAAGAGGCTCTAAAAGAAAAGGCCGAACAAGATGCTTTTAAGGAAAAGTGCGACGCTCTTCGGAAAAAGCAAGAAGAAGAAGCCATTAGGGAAAAATGCGCCGTGAAAAAAATTCGAGATGCGGTTGAAAAAAAAATGAAAGAAGATGCAGAAAGACAATCTTTTATCGAAAAATGCGAAGCTCTTAAGAAAAGACAAGAAGACGCTATTAGGAAACAATGCGCACTGAAAAAAGCGCAAGACGCAGATGAAAATAACATGAAAGATGTAGCAGAAAGAAATAAGAACGAGAAGGAAAGGCAGCGAAAAGCAGCTTTAGCAAATATGGGCGAACTAGAAGCTTTAAGGGAAAAGTGCGAAGCTCTTAGTAAAAGGCAAGAAGACGCTTTAAGGAAAAAGTGCACACTGAAAAAAATGCGAGACGAAGTTGAAAATACTATGAGAGAGGAGGCAGAAAGAAATAAGAACGAAGAAGCTTTAAAGGAAAAGTGCGAAGCTCTTCAGAAAAAGCAAGAAGAAGACGCTTTAAGGAAAAAGTGCGCAATGAAAAAAACGCAAGACGAAGTTGATAACATGAAAGAGGAGGCAGTCAGACAAAAGATCGAGGGCGAAAGGAAGCGAAAGGAAGCTCTAAATAAAAAGACCGAACTACTAGAAGCTGCTAAGGAAAAGTGCGAAGCTCTTGGAAGAAGGCAAGAAGAAGCTTTAAGAAAAAAATGCGCATTAAAAAAAATCCATGCCTCATTTGAAAAGATACAAGAAGACAGACAAAGAAAAAGACAAAAGACTAAAGAGACTAATACACAGGAAAAAACAAAACAGGACAGGCAAAAAAGCGAAGAAGCTGCAGAAGAGTTGATTTATGAGGAGAAGGATCAAAACGCAAAAAATATTTTGCTTCGATCTTCTCTTTATAGAACAACTGGCAAACAAGACTTTCAGCCCGGTAATAAAGTGTCAATTGTTGGCGCTGGAGCCGTCGGTATGGGTTGCGCCTTTGCCCTGCTATCCAAGCACGTCACGAATAATATAGCCATCTACGATGTGAAGAAGGACTTATGTTATGCAGAGCGGCAGGATCTTCAACATGGGTCTCTTTTCCTTAATAATTGCAATATTGACAATGACACTAGCATCGAGTGCACCAAAAATTCGCGCGTAATAGTGATTGCTGCTCGACCGCACAGTGAACCAAACGAACCACACTTAACTCGGCTCAACAGATCGGCAGATATTATCAAGCAAATTGCTCCTGAATTACTTAAGTATAGCCCAAAAGCTGTCTTTATCATTGTATCAGATCCAGTAGATCTGATGACTTGGATTACTCGCAAGATTACAAACCTACCCTATGAGCGCTGTTTCAGCACCGGGTGCCACTTAGATACTGCTCGTTTCCGCATGTTCATAGCGCAGTTGGTGGGGGTGTCGACGAGCTCGGTCCAAGGAATGGTTCTTGGGGAGCATGGAGATACTTCTGTACCAATATGGTCCTCCGTCAGTGTGGGTGGAACCCTACTAAAGAACTTGCTGCCGCCAATAGGTACTGATGAAGATCCGATGGTATGGTCGAATGTACACAAGAGCGTAGTTAATGCTGCTTATAAAGTAATCGCTGGTAAGGGTTATACAAATTGGGCGATCGGTCTTACTGTAGCGGACGTTGTGTCTGCTATATTTGAAAACAGTAATCGCATCATGTCGTTGTCAACAAATGCAAAGGGTATGTGTGGAGTTAAAGACGAAGTTTTTCTTTCGCTGCCTTGTATTATTAACCAGTGGGGCATTTATGGAATATTACATCCTCAACTTTCAGATTGGGAGAAAGAGAAGCTCAAGAAGTCGGCTAAAAGGTTACTCTGCACACAGAATAATATGAAGCTCTAATTGCCCGATTTTAGTAAAGTTTTCAATATTAATAAATTTCTTTTAATTGGTGTAGGCAGAGCTTTTTGCCAGATATAGAATTTCGTTTGAAATTCACGTTTTGTTTTTACTGTTTTAGTACACCGAAAACGAAATAAAAATAAATATAAATATATAGCTCGACTCTGAAAAACCGCAAAGAAATTTATATGAAGCACCAAGTGTAGGCACACTCGTACAAAATTTTTCCGTTGAATCTTTCAAGAAGCGTTTGAGTTCGCTTGAAACACGTCGTACTGCATTACCGTCTATTGAATTGCGGCGAATTGTAAAATATCTGTAAAACGCATGCTGAATTTATTTGGAATGAAAACTCAGATAAATGAAACTTTCGATGGCTAAATTCTGTACCGCATATTTTCTATAATTTTGACTACATGTATTCCAAATTCATCAAATAAATATGTATCAAAATCATTAGTAGCATTTTGCGATAACTGTCAAGTCTTTGATATAATCATTTTAGAAACCAGAATAAGTATTTATTTGATATTCAAAATTAATAGCCTTCAACCTGAAATAATGACAAAAACATATTTGTTTTGGTAATGATCTTTTTTTTAAATTCACATTAGTTTTGAGTGCGTTCTGCATGATGACAAACCGCTTCACTCACGGCCTTTATAATACTTTTATCAAACATGAAAGTGGAAATAATATAAGGCATTCACATGCCAAATCAAAACTGACCAGGCGTTTTGCTTCTTCCTGCTCATCGAGGTGCAAAGACGATAAACTTTTAAACGCTTTCCGCAATTGCTTGTATAAACGTTTAAAAGAACAAGATGTCCAATCTGGAAACAAGGTCTCCATTGTCGGGGCTGGCGCCGTAGGTACGGGATGTGCTATGGCCCTACTGTGCAAAGGCGTTACCAATAACATAGCCATATATGATTTGAGGAAAGAATTTTGTTCTGCAGAGCGCCAGGATCTCCTACAAGGATCGCTTTTTCTCAACAATTGTAAAATTGACAATCGGACAACTATCGAGTGCACTAAAAACTCACGCGTGGTGGTGGTCACAGCTGGAGTGCGCAGCAAAGCAAACGAATCACGCCAAAATTTAGTCCACAGATCGGCAGAAATTATCAAACAAATTGCTCCTGAATTAGTTAAGCAGAGCCCAAAAGCTGTCTTTATCATAGTAACAAATCCAGTGGATGTGATGACTTGGGTTACTCGCAAGATTACAAACCTACCCTTTGAGCGCTGTTTGAGCACCGGGTGCCATTTAGATACTGCGCGATTCCGAATGTTTATAGCGAAGATATTGCGGGTATCAACGAGCTCGGTACATGGAATGGTGTTGGGAGAGCATGGGGACACGTCTGTACCAATTTGGTCCTCTGTCAGTGTGGGTGGAACTCTATTAAAGGACTTGTTGCCCAATATTGGCACTGACCAGGATTCGAACGGATGGTCGAATGTACATAAGGATGTGGTTAATGCTGCTTATAAAGTAATCGCTGGTAAGGGCTATACAAATTGGGCAGTTGGGCTCACCATTTGCGACGTTGTGTCTGCTATATTTGAAAATAGTAATCGCATCTTGACATTGTCTACAAGTGCAAAAGGCATGTGTGGAGTCAAAGACGACGTTTTTCTATCGCTACCTTGTATTGTTAACCAAGGTGGTATTTACGGAATAATACGACCTCATCTTTCAGATTGGGAGAAAGAAAAATTTAAGAAATCTGCAGAAGTTGTGCTTAATATACAGAATACTGTTAAAATCTAAAGCACCAGAAACTTTGAAGATTTACATAGAAAATTTAATGTGGATTTCATTCTGCTCTTATTTGATAAAAAATGATTTATAATAATTATTTTATAATTAAATAATAATTAAATTATAATTAAACAATAATTTATTAATAAGTCTGTTCATAATATATAGATAAATAGATATAATTTGCATTGTGAAAATTTTGTGCCATATCCTTTTTGTATTCCACAAAACAATTTATCCAACAGAAAAATAAAAATTTGAACATGCAGCAACCCTTCCTCAAAATTTGTTTAACCACTACATTTCAAACGCCAGAAAATTTTGTTGTTTTTTTTAACTCACTTCAAAAATTATATCTAAATTTTTTGCTTAGGCATCGTACATGATGAGAAGGCGCTGTTTGTCCGGAATATGTTCTAATTTATCGACATGCACTATTGTGAATAGAATGAGACAATTGCCTCTAGATGTCATTCAAATATATATTACACGATCTGGTTCATCAAGATGTAGGGAAGATAAATTTTTGAATGCTTTTCGGGCCTGCTTGTATAAACGTTTAAAAGAACAAGACGTACAACCGGGAAACAAGGTCTCTATTATCGGTACCGGTGCTGTTGGCATGGTGTGTGCAGTAGCTCTGCTGTTGAAAGGGATTACTAATGACATAGCCCTATTCGACATCAATAAGAAATTATGTACTGCCGAGTTTTCGGACCTGATACACGGCTCTTTATTTTTAAATAATTGCAATATTGCAAATTGCGGCGAAATTGAATCTACGCGGGACTCGAGAGTAGTTGTAGTGACGAGTGGAGTACGCGTAAAAGCCAACCAGAATCGATTAGAAGTTACTCAAAAAACGGCGAATATTATTAAGCATGTCATGCCTGATCTAGTTAAACAAAGCCCCAAGGCAGTATTTATTATAGTTTCAAATCCATCGGATGTCATGGCCTGGCTGGCCCATAAAATAACCAAGTTACCCTATGAGCGATGCATTAGCACTGGCTGTCATTTAGACACTGCACGTTTCCGATTGTTTATTGCGCAGGTTTTGGGCGTGGCTACTAGCTCAGTAAACGGATTTGTTCTTGGGGAGAATGGAAAAAGCTCAGTGCCGATGTGGTCTTCAGTAACCGTAGGTGGTGTACACCTTGAAAAACTAGTGCCAAACATTGGCACGGATAAAGATATTATGCAATGGTCACAAGTACATATGGACGTCGTCGAAGCAGCGTCGAAGGTGATTGCTTTAAAGGGTTATACAAGCTGGGCCATTGGACATGCTGTCGCAGACGTTGTATCTGCTATATTCGAGAATAGCAATCGGATATTGTCATTGTCAACGAATGCCAAGGGTATGTGCGGGATCAGAGATGATATATTCTTATCGTTGCCGTGCATTGTAAATAAATGGGGTCTTTTTGGGATTATTCGTCCACATCTATCCGAATGGGAGTCTGCTGCGATGAAGAAATCGGCCAAAGAGGTATTGAAGGCACAATGTGACATTAAATTGTAGAGACTGCAAAAAGGGACTTTGACATTGTATTCAGTATTTTCTCTTGCTTTCATGAAATAAATTTATCGTCAGGCATAGTTATAAATGATATTTTTATTTTGGAACAAAATTTATTTGCTTTCTGGGCGTTGCCAATATGTGGCGCATTTGCAACTATACACAACTAAAACCAATTGTTAACGGCTGCAAACGATGCCAGCTACCAGTAGAATTTAACTCTAATATTAGAAGCAAGGGTTCCTCATGTTCACGGACGTCACTGACAATTATTCCAAGCAAGAACCTTAATAAGAACGAAGCTAAAAAGAGCGATCAAGCAGTGAAATTTAAATGTATTTCACACTCTTTTGACAATCACTCCAACAGCAATTTAAGTAATAAAAACTCCACTAGGGATCTACCATTAAAAAGGGAATCTGATATATGCGCCAGGAAAACTCTGTCAATTAAGAAAAATATTGAATTTGCCTTAAACAAGAATTTACCAACACCTGAGAAACCTGAGAACTTTATTAAAACGGATTTATTTGCGGAGAGAAAAACTAAAATATACCTTAACAGGTGTATACCTTATAAACGAAAATCAGGAAAATGTGTGGACCGCTTGGAGGATCCTTTTCAATCGACGGACGAAATAAATTCAGAACGGTTTTACGATTGCGAGGAAGTATCTACAGACTATAGCGACTTATTTACAGAGTCGATGTCTAGGAAGACTGATATGAAATCGTACAATTTAGCACAGCTAACGAGACCAACAGAAAGCAATAGTCAATTTTCAAATAGAACTCTTTCAGAACAGGCCGAGCGACTCAAAAGTTGTCCATCCAATGTGACGGGAAATACTACGAAAATTCAACGCTGCTCCAACATGCATTCCGATGATTTTATAGTCCAACATGATGGCCAAGCAAAAGATTGTGAGGCCAAATCAAATCACCAGAATATATATATGCTATCGGGGACATTACGTTGCACGAAATGTAATGCCAAGGTGCCAAAGCATTATCCAATAAAACCAAATGATCGGTATAGTAAAAATGCTGTGCCAGCTCACTATGAATTAGAGTTTAAAAATATTTTAGGAGCCAATGTCAAGCGCTCTTCTCATACATATTCTGATCTTCAAAGTCGAATACCCCCTACCAATTTTTGTCCAGGTTCAGATCAACGAATAAAGCTAAATGGTGGTCTAATCTCCAAATTCTGCCAGTCATTGCCATACTCAGTAAATACTCTACGCGAATCTTTGAAAAATCTAAATCCTACGATTAGCTCAAAACGTACCGGCCACCTAAAGGATCCAGTACAAGAATATAATAAGAAAGGTAACCTACCGTTTATATTTAATGGTATGCGTGTATATGACGATATACCTAAGCCCAATAAAAGCTCTATTGCAGATCATTGTCCTCTTCATTTTAAAACGTTGCACAAAAATCATGCAATTCAATCCTATTGTAATAATCAATCTTCTTCTGAACATGCACAACCAGAGTTGAGAAAGAAATTGGTTGAATCTAACGCTGATTCGTTATTTTTCAAAGTAAAAAAGAATTCAAGCGATTTATGGGCTAATCAGCCGTCTAGAAAAAAACCAAATGCTACCGTCAATAATTTGATCAAATCGGGAAATAAAAACGATTACAAGAAACCAGTACAGATTGCCAACCAATGTGAGATGGAACAAAAAGTGTTGATGAAACGCACAAATCATATTCAAACACGAAACGATATACACAATCTTAGTAAAATTCTATGCAGTAAGGCACAACCGTCTACAAATCTTGGCTGTGAAGAAAATCAAATATCAAATTTCAACTGCGATCCCAGCTCAAAAAATCCAAAATACATGGATCCCAAGAAGACTACTATTGGTCCATTAAGAAAAGCTCAATTGACGGAGTTGCATTGTCACAAGTCTAACAGTATTAGGCGTCTCCAAAAGCTTCCCATGATGGCATTGAGTGATAATAATTCTCATACTCAACAGCAAAAGTTGAGTAACGGATTTGACTTTTATAGATTCGATGAGCAACAAAGAATCGAACCTGATATCGGCTACATCAAATCTGAAATGAGCCAGATTGATAATATTATCAATCAATGTGAGATACTCAAAAAAAAATATGCCGCACATCTAGAAGATAAATTTGCGGAATATTTACAACGGATGTTTATAAGGAATAATAATGTATTGCACGAGGCCGGATCGATGCTTCAAAGAAAATGCTTGGATACTATCGGAATACAGAAAAACCAGCCTCTAATCGCCAAACAGAACAATTCGGAAATTGTACTGAAATATCAAGAACTTTTAAGCAACTGCAAACGTGAAGAATTGGAGAAAAGATACAAAACAGCGAAATCTAACCATAAAAAAATGCAAAAAAAACTTCAGGCAACAGAAAAACCCCAAAACAATGGCGAAAAATCGCTGAATTGTTCAGAAGCCAGCTTACTGAAGCAGTGTCTGAAAACTCAAAGAGAAAAGAAATGTCTCTATGAAAGTAATGGTATCGGAGCTAACTGTAAGTGCATTGAAGCAGCGGACAAATGTGATGCGACCGACTTACAGAACGCACATGCCTGTGAAAAGAAAACAGAAGTGACTGAAAGAATCTACGCAGAAACACAAGAGAGGGTAGTCGAGAAGCCAAAACAACGTTTGGACAAGGAGAAATTAAGGAAAAACAACAAGCAGAAAGACAAAACTACAGTTAAAACGGTTGGTGATCGGATAAATAAAGATTTATTACCTCCCTGGCATATGCTCAATGATGATCTAATTTCATCTATTTTCCAAGTGAATAATCAGGACCACCCTGTCGACATGCGCCGTCTGGAGAGTGAATGCCAATTATTCGATGCACAAAATAAAAGAGAGATTACAAAATCTGGTGGAATATTCGAAGCTCTCGGTATTCCCTATTCCACACATATGGATAGCACAATATATTTGTTTGAACTTCGAAATCGGCTCGCTGATAGCTGCCAACAACTTCAGTCATCTACTACGCCACATGAAGGTAACTTAGAGGGTGATGAGGTTAGACAGCATGTAGACCAATCATTGATAAATCAGTGGACAAATAAATTTGGAGAGCTACCGTTACAGATAAGACCAGGATCGAACATATTATTGCCCTTGCCCCATTCTAAGGGGAGCTACTTTATTAGTGAAAGCAATAAATATACTCCATTAAAGTGGCTCGATCTTAGAATGGGTAAAGAGTTCGAATATGATGATTCTGATTCTTAACCAGTTATTTAGAAAATTTTGATCGTGCAACTTGAGTTAAGGGCTTAAATTAAATGCGTGTATACATATTCTATGTAGAAACACATGTAAGAGTTATTAAAATTGATTCGATTTGAATATGTTAAAAATATTGTTGAATATATTTTATTATTTGTTATTAGTTGAATAGCATATAATTTGGAGTTAGGAAAGTAACGAACATATTTGACATTAAAACATAATAA